AAGATGTGATAAACCACAGTTAATTTATGTTTTAACAGGGGGGGGGGGCAATCACTTTTTCACACAGGGCCATGTAGGTTTGGATTTTTTCCCCCCCTTAATAATAAAAACCTTCATTTAAAAACTGCATTTTGCGTTTACTTGTGTTATCTTTGTCTAATATTTAAATTTGTTTGATGATCTGAAACATTTAAGTGTGACAAACATGCAAAAAAATAAGAAATCAGGAAGGGGGCAAACACTTTTTCACACAACTGTATATATATATCATTTTTTGGAGAATTTAAAAAGAATTGTGATATTTATGTTATGAAGACTTTAATATGCTAATCGTATAATTCAAAGATGCACTTATCAGTATATTATAATAAAAATGGATTACCTGATGACACTTTGTGTATAGTGCTCTACTGGGCCGTTCATCATTTTTTCCGCTGATCGATAATCACTTTCGACCCTCAACTTTACTATTTTGATTCACTCTCACTGCTCCATCGAGGTGGTTTCCATGAGCAGCAGGCTCTGATGAAATCACTGGACTATATACTGGCTGTGGATCACTCACTCAAATTGCATGAGCCTTTGTATTTGGCTTCTGTGTGTAGAAAAACTACACAGCAGTTCAGTTCTGCTCAGATGAACACCTCCTACACCACATTACATACATTTGACAGAGGCTTGCTACTGGTAGAAATAAACGGCTAAAGGAGTCACCTGTTATGAAGGAGTAGGTACAGTTGGAGTCGTCCCTCACCAAGGGGAAGAAGGCCTTCCATGACACAAATGTGCTGAAAAGTAATGTCTCAATTACCTGGAGAGTCGATGGGAGATGAAACATGACGGACAAGAATCAGAATTTCATTTTAGTAACAGAGCAAAAAGCCTCTGCAACAACATTAAGACATGATGTAACAGGAGGATCTGGACATGCTTACCACAACTACTAAGACTCTCACAACTACCATTACTGCCACCAGTGTAATTAGAGAAAGCAATGCAACGTATACTTACATGAATGCAAAGAATATTATATGTTTAATCAAAACCACTGGCATGTATTGGTCTAGCCAATGTCTTGTTTATGTGTGTGTGCTCACCCAGTCTAGGTCCTTGAGGGACTGAGTGTGTGGGGGTCCTCCCTGCCACCAACTGAAGCCCAGAGAGGAGACGATGTCTGTCACCTTCCCCACCACCTTCAGCAGGGCCTGCTTCGCCTGCTCTGCTCCGTCCTCTGACCCTGGAACAGTAAGAGAAGTCTTCAGGAGAGGAAAGGCTTCCAGTACACCAATGGATTACCATACGGAGCCAACCGAGCACAGGCCCAAAATGTCAGGGGCCCCCCTGGTCTTTACCTACAAAATGTCACTCAAAGAGACACGTACAAACCAGGAAGACACACAACATGACCACAAAGAGACACAGAATGACCACAAAGAGACTCGGAACAACTACAAAGAGACCCACTACGACTACAGCTGTACAATTAAGGTAAGGATTCCTGTCCAAAATTGAATCACACCTTCTAATAAGGATGTTTTCAATTTATCCATAGTGAACAATTAAACAGCAACAGCGGATGTTATTAATGGACAAATGGGGCGTTGCTTTAAATGTTGCCATCACAAGAAACTGGCAAGAAACTGTAGGACGCCATAATCCCCCTTTGGTGGTCGGACATGGTAGAAGTTTGCCAGAAATCTCCTTAGGTTTATGCAACAAACATCCTTTGTTCGGTTTAGGAAAATACCATGGTTTGGGTTCAAATGAACTCTTTCTGGGAGAAAGCCCTGAAGGCAATAATTTCCCATCTGCGGATGGTCCAATGTATCTTAAAGGAGATAAGAAAGGAAGCATTGAAGCACCCTTTCCTTATCATTTAGACACATTTGACCAGCTCTCATCAGCTCTATCAGAACAATGTGAACATGTTAGGCTACTTTGTGTGGCTTAAAGATGTACTGTAAATATAAATGTTAAATAAAAGACTACAGAATGAATTCTGCAAATTTATTTGGCGACCCCAATAAGATTTCTTGCGACCCACCAGTGGGTCCCGACCCAGTCTTTGAGAATGACTAGATAAGACAATTTTTAGCTGACACGAAAGGTTCCTGGACTGAGTCCTTCCAATGAATGACTTTGTCTCTAGTCCCCCAGCCTGTTTACACTTCTGGCTCAGATTGAAATATTTGAAATATAGAAAACGCTATTGGCTGGATTGACATGAAATTAGATACAGGCATTCATGTTCCCCCTCGGATAAAAAATGTAATCATCTTGCACCACGATCGGGTCAAAAGTAGTGCTTTGGTTTATACCTGCAAAACTGATAACTTTTCCCATCATCCTCAGCTGCAATTTGTGTTTACCTCCAATTAGCAAATGTTAGCATGCTACCTCGCTCAACCAAAACTGTGAACAGGGCGAACGTCATACTTGCTAAACACAAGGAAAATTGTCATGAGAATGTTAGCATGTTTGAAAAGTTCAGTTTCGTAGAGCCGCTAGCATGACGCAAGTCTCTGAGGCTTGTTATAATACTGGTTAGGTTCTAAATCTAATGTATAATAAAATCATATTTATCTATTTGTACAATTGGCTCCATAAAATTTGAAGTGGTGTAATGAACTTTGCAGCCATGATACAGTACATTGCCACGCTCATTACATTGGCAGTTTGAAATGGTGAAGCCTCTCAGTGACACTGGTACAAAACCCATTGCATATAATTATCAATATGGTGTCTGTCTCTATTAGCAGAGAAGAGAGCTAAAGGATGCGTAACTCAACTTACCCACATTCCCCACTATAGTAGTGAGGTTATCCTTTGTGCTGGGAGAGACGAATGATTGGAGCCTCTCCAGACGGCTGCTGTCCCTGGAGATCACTGCGACTTTGAACCCTTCAGACACGAGACACACATTACACACTAGATTAATCCATTGTGCAGACAGACAAAACCAGCACCTTTAACACATATAGAGTAGGACTAATCCCTCTCACATGAAAATGAAGATTCACTAACAGGCCTGCATTGTCTAAATCTGTTTATCAAAGCCATCAGAGGGATGAACGTGACAGAGCGGCAGATGGTAACTTTCTGCTCAAAGCAAGCAGCAAAGCTATGGGTGTGCAATGTGAATCCAAAATCCAGAGCACTCTCATCACAGCATGCTGCACTGTCTGGGTTCATGCTTAGTGCAGAGGCAGCAGAGCACAGCGAATAAGCCAAATAGATTGAAGCTTTTGGGACTGAAACAGACTCTAAACAGGGATGAAGAGCCGAAATAACACTCTTCATTTTCTTTAAAAATGAATTTAAAGAAAGTTGATGATGATGCAGATAGTCTGAAATCAGAGCTCAGATTAATGTCAGTGTATGGGACTTCGTTGATCAAACCACTGGCAGTAACATCCAACATGTGACGAAAACCAAAAGGCACGAGTCATAAAGTCACAACACACAATTAAAACACATATTTAACGTTATTTAAAGGTTAGTGTTTTGACAATCCAGCCGGCATACTGCGCACGCAAATGTACATCACAGCAAATACCTCATTATTGTATCTGTCAGTGCAGCGCTTGGAGACAAACTCGAAAATGTACAACTTTACGCACGCGGACGCGCCTTCAACATCAGATTAATAGTCAGTCATTTAACAATTCAAAGCCAGGGAATGTTCATGAAGTACCAAAATGCTCAAAGAAACGTCTTTTCTGCACTTTATCATGATGGAATGCCCCCCTGCGTAAAATCCACAAGACAGTCACCCGTGCGTAAACACTATTTGGAAAGACAAATTAATTTGGATGCCAGAGTTAACATAGAAAATGTTATGTCTTCATCTTTCTTCAAAGAGTATATTGAGAACATGTCCGATCTCCGAGTAGTAGAGAAAGCTTAGTGTCTCCAAGTGGAACGCTTACCTTTGTCCAGCAGTGCTTTAACTATCCCAGAGCCCACCGTGCCCGCTCCTCCGAGAACCAACACAACCCTGTCCGAGTTTGACATGTCGGCTGCCGCTGCACAGGCCTGCTGGGGGATAGAAGATAACTCTCTTGTGTGTGCGCTGAAAGTGAAGCTGCTGTCTTGTGCAGAGCACCTTGGCCGACCCGGGATGCTTTAAACTAAACTCAGGGGCCACAGTCCCCGCCCTACTATTAGTGTCACTGAGGCCACGCCTCGATAAAAGTGGCTCATTGCTGTCTTCACCCCGGCACAGTGTGTGTTTACTTTCTTATTAAAACTGACAACAACAACAAGGCAATCGGTTCACGTGAAGGCCAGCAGGGCGCTTAAGAGAGGAAATGCTGCCATCTAGTAGAAGATACGCGGTACGACAATGTAAGAAGATATAAGCTCTACACGGGAAGATTGGTGATTTGTATCCATTAATTTCGCAACGACATTTCTAGTTACCGTCTATTTTACCGTCATCTCGTTTTCAATGTAGTTTTGATCCAGAGTTTTAAGGTGAAAATGTTCTTTTCACCGCTAAACTCCTTGGCCGGCCCGCCCCGATGCTCATACCATGCGCACCCGTCTGAAACTGGGTAAATTCATGCCACGTGACAATGTTTACCTTATAGTCGACAATCAAGCAGCTATCAGCTGCACGGCGGCCCGGAGATGCTTTAGTTACCAGGTTCGCTGATAAACATCTGAATAAGTGCCGTACACAGGTGAGATTGTGTGTATCTAACGGTTATGTTTCAATCTAAATTATACTTGGATCAAACTTTCAGCCGTAGCTGCGAGTTAACGTTAGCTTAGCCACAACACGAGAAATTGAGATCTCGTCCGTAATTCTAGTAACTCAATGTTGCCTTGCGAATCGACTAAAGATCATACCGTCTAACACCCAAGCCACAACGACACCTTCATCATCGAGAGTCGCTTTTTTAATTCGGTATACGTCTAAAACAACACGAAACTCTTCTTATGAAATTTGGACTTTTCTGAGGAAATTTGATGCTGCTTCCTGGGTCTTTCCCCACAAATGAAACACGTCTGTTTGCGGTAGAAAGCTGTCTGTCCCAATTCTAAAAGTCAACTTTTCGTTGGTTGGTGGTTTGAATGTGAATGTAGAGTTTTTAATAGGCTCAGACGGAATTTGCTGTACATTTCTCGCCACTTAAAAAAAAAAAAAACGCAACAGAAAGGTAACCGAACGTAGCAAAACTAGCTAGTCGGTCAGTAATGCTAACGTCAAACTGATGTACTGACTATTGTTTGTGTCTGACGGGTGGTGTCACACATGAACGGCCGGTTTTGGACTGATGGCTAACTTAAAACAGCGTCGATAAACACCTTAGTTGGCTCATTACGAAAGTAGCTTTACCAGTAAATATTTTCTTTCCCTGAAACCAAGTTTCACTTTCAGTTGATGAACTTTCCTGAACTCCTTTTAGAACAACCTGATTCTTCCAAGGCGGAGGGCCCCTGACGAGTCATTTACCAGTGCTGTCTAAATATAAATTATGTAGAAACTGTTGCCATAGTTTTCGTTATTCATTTCAGTGTCCCATGTGAATGGAAGAGATGAGCGTCTCAAAGCAGAGAGCCAGAGATCTCGTGCCGGCCTACGGTCACAGTTTGGAGCAGCAAATTGTGGGACGAGGCTCCAACCTGGTGTGTAGAGACGAGGAGCTGTGGACGCGGGTGGAGGGCCTGCTGAAGGACGGGGATGCTCAGGAGACACACTGCCTGGGTCTGGATCCACTGAGGGTGATGGAGGAGTCCCTCGCGGCGGCGGCAGCATCGACGACAGCAGCCGGCGCTGGGCGAGTCAGAACCAGAGGAGGGCTGCAAGGCCTGGCTAAAGCTTTTGAGGTCCTGGAGCAAGCGGCCCTGAACCTGTACCTCGGCCCCTGGAGGGATGAGTACAAAGTAGTCAAGGTTGGCTGAAAAAAAGGAGGCGAAACAATGGAGTCGTGTCGAATTTCTGATTTTAATTCTAGTTAATAGTTTGACTTTTTTCTCAAAGTATCGCACACAATGTCTCATCAACTCCACAAATATCACATATTATTTAAAAGTGCAATATTTTTCAACCGTGACGAGAATAACATCCTGTATTATTTTTTTAATGGCAGGACAAAATACCCCTTTTTTTCTTGTCTTTCGTGTCCCAGATGTACTCCGGTATGTTCACCCACTTCATCAAACCGGTGATGTCGATGCCACAGATTGAGAAACTGTTTGGCCTGCTGGGATACCGGCCCAGCTCGTCTCGGCACGAGCAGCTCCGTCTCCAGTCGCCCCGCGTTGGTCCTGCCTCTCTGGATGACCTCCTCTGCTTGTCGTGTGCCTTCTTCCTGGCCCGCTGCGAGTGTTTCCTCCTTCGTACGGCTCTGGGGAAGCACGCTGGCGAGGCCCAGTGGGAGCTGAGTGTGGTGAGGGAGAGGCAGAGAGGAAACTGCTTACAGGTATGTCTGCCCGGTATTTAGCAAATCAATCCATCATTAACGGGGTCACGTGCACGTGAATCACTTGTTTTGTGGCGATGGGATGCCTTCCTCTTTTGCAGCCCCACTATTCAATCCAACTGGTGGGTCAGCCATTACAAACACATGCTGTGCTGCTAAACATTGTTTTCTTTTTCTAATGGAGATCCCAACGTTTCCACAGATGCCAAATAAATTAGGCAGATTTTCGAGAAATGTGCGTAAAATAAAGCTCTAGACATGCCAAATATTTTGAATTGAGGATTGTGTGTGTGTGTGTGTGTGTGTGTGTGTGTGTGTGTGTGTGTG